ATGTTATGTCTGTGGATGGGCCAAAGATTCAAGATTCAAGATATGGGTGGTATGTACATGTTAAGGTGGCTAGGTTATGTTGGTGACATGGTGTAGTGGTTAGTGCGTGGAATCAATTATGTTATGTTTGTGAGGTTCTGTGTTTGATTATGAGAGCACCCTTTTGTTTCCACGTGAGCTTTTCTTTTCTTTTTCTCATTTTCTGAGACACTGCAGAAATCAGACCATGCAGAAATTCAAGAAAAAAATTCATTGTCATGTAAAACTACAAGAGAATAGTTATCAGTTGCATAGCAAAAATTCTGAACTGAAAACAATTGTTAAAAGAGAAAATGAATAATTGTTTGGCATAGGTTGGATACAATCACAAGGATTTGATATATCAAAGAAATTTATTTATTTATTTTGGAGCACGAGGATTCTTAGCAACAGGGTGTGTAGTGCATATGTGTAGCTTTCGATTCCCACTACCTTTGCATGTTGGAGTATTAGGGCAACCATTTGCCTTGCAGGATGTGCATACCTTCTTTGTTTTTGTTTTTAAGATAGATCATCCTGTATGAGATGTTGAGGTTGATGCTACACTAATTCCTGAGGCTGGTGCAGTGGGTTTATGGCCAATAGCTTTATTGTAGAAGATGGGTGAGGTATTTGCACACTCTTTTCCTTTGCAAGATAATGGCACAGATGACATGTTGTGGAGGTCTGATGGTGGAGCCATTATAATGGCAAGTAAAACATGAGATCTCCTATTTGGATCTGCAAGAACAGTTGTGACTGGTTTTTGCTGCTCTGTTGTAATGGCCAGGGTTGCTCACTGCCCACGAGCTTCCAGCCACAGCTTGTGATGACATTCAAGCTTCTCAGGAAGCTTATAAAATATACTGCCAGATTGACGATTCACAGCAGATGCAGCAGCATGCTCATGAACAATCTCATTCCATCTTTTTTCCAAGTCACGGGAATTGACTGTCTTTCCTGCAATTGGCATGTGAGTGGAAGGCTTGAACCAGTTGTCAGAGTCCATCAGATTGGTGAATAGAGTATACTCCTCTGCTGTGTGAATGGGAATAACTGCATGCATAGTCTGCTGGCGTTCTGCAAGAAATACATAGGGGCTGATGGGTCGAGTTGTCAATCTAGTGAGGAGGTGTACAAGGGTGTCTTTGACTAGTGGAGTAACTTGAGAATCTGATGGTGGGGTGGATTTCATTCCAAAGCTGGTGACCAATGTGTCTGGAATAGCAATAATACCAAATGTCTCATTTGTCACAATGCAAGTTGCCAAAATGTCAGGAATTGGGAATGATGGGGCAACACCAGCCTCTGCAGCAAGTTCAACAATCT